TCCCCAGCCCGACCCACAGCAAGTGGGGAAGAGCCTAAGGAGGCGCTGCAGGGAGGCCCGCCTTCCTGGAAAGCCACGCTTGGAATTGTCTTCAAAAGCTGCAACGCAGCCCCCGGAGTTTGAGCACGAATAAATCATTAGCATTTTATTTACAGTTCTGGGTTTACAATTCCTAGAAAATGATCCTGCTGTTCAGAGCGGATCTCTGCTTTGCGGGCTTCCGCAGCGCCTCCTTCCATCTCCCCTGTCTGGGGGACCAGATTGGCTGTTTGCTTGGAGAGGGAAAGAATGTGGGGCAAGTGGTCTGGAGAAGGAGGGTGCGACGACCCTGAGTCCCGAATTTTCCGACGACCAGAATGAAGGAGTCGTGTCCCCCCACCCCCCATTCCCACCCCCTGGTTTACAGGGAAGGGAGGTTTGACCCAGAGTGGCCTGGGAGATGAGGTCACACAGCTGGAGCTGGACTCTGACAGGCCCAGAGTCCTGGCTTCCAAACCAGCCAAGAAAGCGCAGAGACCAGGGAGCTTCTGGCTCTGGGGCGGACTCGAGTCCCCGACGGCACCTGCGGCACCCGCTAGATGGCAGCCTCGGTCTCCGCCGGGGACCAGTCGGCCGCGTTAGCCAGTCCGGCCGGAGGCCCGGAGGGTGGCTCAGTAGGAGAGCGACTTTGGCACCCAGGAGCCCCGCTTGCAGGATGGCCCAGAGAAGGGAGGGGCTGGGAGCTGCCTCGCAGCTGGGATGGAGCGTCGGCTTGGAAGGCTGTGATGGCTGACCCGCGCCACCTGCCCTGCTTGGGCAGTGACAGATGTGAGACCAGGGCGAGAGAGAGGGCGCCTTGGATCCAGGCTGCCAGACTGGGAACCCATGGTGTGACTCCTGCAGCCCCACCGGCTGTAGTTAGATTTGGTCCCCATCCCTGGTGGGGACTTTTCGGTTCTCAGCTGTTTCCAGAATTGAGTGATCTGTGCCTCACACTACCCTGGTTCTCCTCTGAGCCTAAAGGATGCCTCTCTCCAAACACACACACACACCCAGGATCCACAATGCCCAGCCACAGTCACATCTTCGAATAGACAGAGATTGGAACATCATCTCTGAGGCCAGTGAGACTTGGGGTCCTGGGCCCAGCTACGGAGACAGGCAGTACACGCAGAGAACCTGGTTTTGTGGGAACCCTGCTTTTCCTAAGAGGGAGTGGGGCCCAGGAAGTTGGCTCTGTTCCTGGAGTGTATGAACTCGTGAGGTCATTTTATTGATCTCCTTCTGTTAGGTTCAAAGTCTTAGGATCTCTAGTTCAAGGGCATTACTGTTCCAGATCTGCCTCCTTGGCAGATGAGGTCAAGATAGGCCCCCTTGCCTCCTCTCCAGTCCAACTCCTTTCCGTTCTAAGAGAAGGAGACCTTGGCCTGCCCCTGGGCCTGGCCTACCTGCCATCTGTCACCATTTCTTCACTGTGATTCAGAATCCGAAAAACTGGGCTCTGTCCCCCACCTTGGAAGTGGGGGTATTAAGGCCTGGGGCTGGGCTTGCTTTTGCTACAGTGGTTGGAACTGTTCTGCTCTACCACTCCAGAACTCCAGATGCCTCAGAACCTTCGAAAAAGACTTTTCCACTTGAATTAAAAGTTCTGGGGTTGGGGATTTAGCTGGGTTTGGTCCTCAGCTCCAGAAAAACAAAAAACAAAAACAAAAAAAAAGTTCTGCGTTATTTATTTAGTTTGTGTGTACAAGCACATGTGTTCTCAGGTCATCTCACCCACTCACTGGCTTCCTTACTTTAGATCCTCAAGTCCTTCAAAGCTTTGGGCTTATTTTGAGAATCGTCTACAGCCTTGATCCCAGGGTGCAATGGACCATCTGGCCTCAGGAGTGGAGTTGGGTGTCTGGGAACATGGGTCTCCTTGGGTGAGGGAGAGTCCCTAGGCCATCCTTTCCCTACAGGTCAAGCTAAAGGAAGGGCAGCTGGGAAACGGAACTGGGAATGCTCCCTGCTCTTCCCAGTCACCCCTAAGGAAAGCTGTGTGGCCTGCTAGCCAGTGCAGGAAGGTGTGGGGAATTGCTATCCACCACATGGCCTCGGTTAACATCACAATTTCCACGACAGAGCTGCTCTCTAATGGAGCCTGTCAACTCAGCTTAGGCCGCAATGGCTCAGAGCACACTGCCTGCACCCGCAGGATGTGGGTTCCGAGGCATTAACCCTGCCCAGTGCTCTGAGGATGCAGAGCCGCAGAATGTGATTTCGAAGGGGGCCCAGCACGTATCAGGCTTACCATCACATTATTCGGGAATCACTTCACACTGCCCTGCAATCGCCCACAGACAGAGGTGGGGATGGGGTGGGGGTGGAAACGAGTCTCCCCAGGGGTCCCAGCATCTGTACTAACCCCAGAAAGATCTCCGTCCCTTTTACTCACCAGAGGCCCCTTTGACGGCACTCAAGGGCCTAGAGGCAGCCATCTTTATTGGCAAAGTTAGTCACTCCTGAAAAGGGGGTGGGGTAGCCAAACAGTCAGAAGCTCTGTTTCTTGCTCTGCACCGCTTGCTCCGCTTCCCCGAGCCTGCAGGTGAGGAACAGAGGAGGGGAAAGGGTGATGGAGTTCACATCCCAAGGCTGCTGCCTCTCCAGGAATGATGGATGGCTGTCTGCTCAGGCAGGGGAGCGCCTGTCTGAACAGTTTCTTCTGTGGGGACTCAGCCTCCCACACCCGAGCTGGAGCCTCTGCAAACCAAGTGCCCGAAGTGCCAGGGAGTGACTGCGGACCAGTTACCCCCGTCAGTCATTTGAGTGATGAGACCATCCCTTTGGCTCTCATGAGAATCTGTGCCAGTCTTCACCGCATCTATCTCTGGCTATGAGCTCACCTTGATTATTTTTGTTTAATATAGTTTCATTGTCCAGGCTGGCTTTGAACCCAGGACAATTAATCCTCAGCCTCTCAAGGGATGGAATTACAGGTGTACTCCCAGCTCTTGAATTCTTTTCT